TCTTTGAGTTAAATTGAATGAGATTTTCAAATCATTTTTTTTTTTTTTAAGTTATATTTAAATAAAAAAAGTGCAACATGTAGTGAGCTCTTACTCAATTTTATCACATTAAAAACTATTTATATTTCTATGTTTTTATATATTTTTTGTTTACATTCCTTAGAAGATAGCAACAAGTTAATGACAAAACATTGTGATATTTATTCCAAAAAATATATTTTTAATATATAAGCAAAAATATGATTTTTAATACATAAGCTGCCCTGGTTTCTATAATTAAAATATATTAAAATATTGTAAAAATGAGGGGTTTTAAATATTGACTTTCAGGCCTATAAAGTTTGAAAACATGGAAGGTGTTTTACCATGCAAATGCAACATCTGCAATAATAATAATTTTATTATTATTTTGTTTTTGTTGGTAGTATATTTGTTTATTATTATTAGTAGTAGCATTGTTGTTGTTATGCACAAAATAGACAAAAAAATGTTGTCCTCTACTGTCTTAAAGCAGCGTTTTCTCATTGTGCTGCAGCTGAACGTGTTCGTTGCAGAGAAGTGAACTGTCATCGCCATCAAGCTTCCATAGAAACCATTAGATGTCCATATTTACATATTCAGTAGGGCACGCAGCTCTTATACACAGAGGCGGAGAGCATCCAGCAGCTGTCTCTTAATGGACACTACACTGAATTAATATAACAACTCCTAAGTGCCGGGTGTGAAGGGCTGACAGACAGACACGCGTGTGCGTTTGGGACGGGCACAGGACCATTACCCAGCGACAGGATGCAAATAACGCTTAAAAGCACGTTTTACCTCCTCTGGAAGTCCTTTTCAAAGGTTTTGAGGTAAGGATCCATTTGTAGAAGGGACCTCAAGCGAGGAACTGAAACATTATACTCCGATTCTGCCATATTCGCGTCAGACCAGAGCAATCGAGCACCGACTCCCTCGATTAAAATGCCGCTTTCACTGGGGAGCAATGAGCAGCGGTTTGTGTCGCGCTGTCAGTTGAGACTCAGGGTCATGTTGTTTTGCCCTGCCCATATGAAAACAAGAGGATGTGGCTTTCTGAGCTCACTTTTCACTCCCTTTTCTTAAATGGCAGCGTGGTGCTTTAATGGGACCGCGCAAGTGTTCGGATTAGGGGTGGAGGATTTAAGGGGAGGCGGAGAGTCGAATCAGATCATTTTTTTTTTGCCCTTGACAAAGTTCAATCCTCTTCTTTTTTGATAAGGACAGATCCTCTACTCTCTGTCCTACACGGTAAATGCAACATATAAAATCAATCGAATATAAATAGTTTTACATTATAGATATAAGAATAAATATAAAAGAAAAAAACAATGTTATGAATAGTGTAGGCCTACATGAATATCCAAACAGTGTCATGCAGTATGACCTATACTGTGCTTCATTTAATAGCTATTTTAAATATAGTTTTCATAAAAGCAACATTAAAATATAAAATGTATAATACATTTAAAATGATGCACACACGCAAGGGGAGCGCGGGGCACAAAGTAACGCGGGGTTAGTTGTAACACACCTGGTTTGAATATTTCCACACATGCTAGCATAACCAAATTTTCAGCATTTACTAGTTACCATATCAACATTATATAGAAAAAAAAGTGCGCCAAAATTCACAAATCTTTTGAAGATATCGCTGAACATTTATTTTACCATAGTAAAATTTAAATTCTGGCTTAAGTACATTTTTCATCTCAGTTTTTATTATTCATTTAAAATGAAACAAATCTGCTATTATTTTAATCTCCAATCTGTTATTTATCAGTTCAGATGTTTCATATATATATATATCAGCATATTCCCTTTCCACAGGAGGCTCATTTTTATTCAACAAAAGTGGCATTTTTACAGCCATTTTAATGTAATGTCATCGACCAATTAAAACAAGAGATTTCTTTGCCAGGGTAACTGATGTTATTCTGACGGTTCTCCAAAATAACATGCTTAGATCACATGGATCAGATCAGAGGTTTCTGAAAAGCACAGAAATGAATGTGTATCGTGAAAAAAAAAAAAGAAGAAAATTAAGAAATACCAAATAGCAAGAAAAAAAAAGCAAATAAAGACTTTCTATCTCATAGCCTTCAGGTTACCTTTGGTCTTTTACAAATAACTGATTTTAACTTACTCAAGTCATCTTGCTTCATATCCTGTATTTAATCTTATATGCTGCAGTTGGTCTTCTTGTACGTATTGTTGAGAAATAAGTGTTAAGAGGAAGGATGCATGGAAGTGACTAAATATCACATATTTAGAAATTAACGTAACATTCAAGGCTTCATGTGGCTGCTGTCTATGCAGTTTATCTCAAATCTGCACATATTTAATAATGCTTTTCAAAGCATGGACCCTCAGAACAGTCCTCTTTTAACTTCGGTTGCATCATGATTTTGAAACAGTCCGGTATGATCAAATACAGAGGATTATAAGTAAAGTTAAATGTGGAGTTAAAACATTATTAGACTATCAGTAAGCGTGACTAACATCACGGCAGTTTTATCTTGTTTTCATTTAAATTTAATCATGCGTCTTATGTTTAATCATATTGAAGAATTAAACATGTACAACTGTGTCTTTGAAAACATGTTCTTCTAGCCCCTGTGTTGTGCAGAAAATTCCAAATGTAGTGTTCCTGGTCAAAAATGGCCGGCCTTTTAAAAATTGCTTATAAGTCTAAAAGTCTATTATCACCAAATCTAAGATTCAATCTTTTTGACAACTTGTTTTCTTTCAGTTTACACAGGATTTGAATTTCTTTTCAGAGTTGATTAGTCATAGACCTCATTGATATGAGCTTATGCACCTCTTTTTTTTTAGTAAAAAAGCATTGTGTGTGGATAATTTTGGCAATATTCACTTAAAAACTAAGGTGCATAAGCTCAGATCAATGAGGCCTATGATTAGTTCCAAAAATGACAATCTGTTCCAAAAAACAAAACAAAATCTACAAGTTCAAAAAATTATGATCATTTCCAAAAAGATGTTAATAAAAATTTTGAATCCAATATTTGGTAATAATATAGCATAATTAAGCTATTGTTGTAGGCCAGTCATTTTTGATGGAGTATAAGGTAGGAAGATAATATATTTTTAAGAATGTTTTTGCCATTGACTTCTATAGTATCTATAGTATATAGTTATATAGTATATAGTTAGTTAGTATATATAACTATAATATAGTTAGTATATAGTTATATATATATATATATATATATAGTTCTATAGTATCTTTTTTCTATGGAAGTCAATGGGGACCTGCAGCTTAGTTTAATTACCAACATTTAAAATATCTTCTTTTATTTTTGACAGGAGAAATAAATTCATACAGGTTTGGAAGGGTGAGTAAATGATGATATTTCATTTTTGGGTGAACTGTCCCTGTAACAAGCATTTTCAAAAAATCCATTTAAAAAAAAAAAAAAAAAGTTAAAATGACCGAACACATGAGGGCTAGTTAACAGCATAATGATTATTTTTAGTGTGGAGGTGACATTCAGTGAAATGACATTCAAAATGCAGTTTCTTCTCTATATCCATAATAAAAATGCCATATATACAGTACTAATAATACTTCACTATTATCGGCATCAGAGGTCATTTAAATATATAAGAGTGTATGCACGTAGATATCACAATTATAATATTCATGAAATGGAAAATGAAAGTCAAGGTTGATATTATGAAGAACAATATGTTACTGTGAGTCAATGAGTCAGAGTTGATGAGTGGAGAGACTCTTTCAGCATGTGCACTGAAGGTTTAGATGAAAGTCAAGGCTGCAGAATCTCTTAGAAATTTAGGCTGAATGCCAAAAAAGCCAGGTTAATGTTTTGATTTATGGGAATTAGTTTACGATTTACCAATTACTCAAGTCTGAGCCGGAGGTGAACCCAGAAGAAAGTGCGCATTTCATAAACACTGTGATTCATCAGATGTTTAACCACACGCTCATAATCTTTCAAGAAACTGGCACAGGAGGAATGTTACAAATGTACTGAGAAGTAATGTTCACAATGAATATCATTACTATCATTTCTGTAATTCCAATAATTTAGAGACATTACCCCCCTTTAGCATATTTCAGAATTTGATTGATACAGCGGACCTGAACGAAAGTAACCTCATAATCTTTCTGCGCACTTTGATAATTAATGTGTTTATGCATTACAGTCTCTGATTTAATTAAACTCAATCGGCTGAACTTTCTGAAACTCTTCCTGACATTAATTTGTATTGACGTGCAGAAATGAAAGGATAATGTGAGAATTCTTCGGTTCTCTGGAGGAAGCTTTTTGCTTCCAGTGCATTAGAAACACAGCCAGCGAAAAGATATAAATTTGCAGTTGGTGATGAGAGGAGGGGTGGGACATGTGTAAACACTCTCTTATTGCTCAGGGCCAGTGGGAAGAACAGTCAGTTTTCCACCATCTACATTCCAGCAGAGGTGAGAGTCTCGAGAAAAAAAAAAAAGAGGAGCTTGTAGCAGGAGAGTTGCTTGTCTATGCAAAACCAGGCGGCACAATGCAACGATGTTGTGGGGTTGCCAGATACTATCACCTAATGTATAAAGCAAAAATTGTAAATCAGCTTAGAAAAGTAACAGACATGGTTGTTTTATCATGACCACTAGTAACAATGTTGCACAAAGGGCTTTGATTGAGAAAAATATTGGCAGTTTCTCACTCCATTCCATTTCTGGGCTCCAGTCCAGTTTTTGTTTTCGCAAGTGTACTCGCATAAAAACACCTTTAATGTCCACCACATTAAGCCTTGCTTCTTTCACCTGGAGTGACACTGTTTTAGAGCATCCCTGAGTGCCATGCGCCTTTCTCTGACACACACATATCTCTGTTCAAGCGAAATCACATAATGATATGCAACCAAATGCCCACATCTCTGTACTTTATATGCAGCAGCAATTTGCTTGGTTAAAAATTGCACACATGGACAAGTTCCATGCCAAAAGCAAGAATCATACCACTGAAGAAACACATACTAGTCAGTATACTCATATTTTAGCGTACTGAACATTATAGCATATTTCATTAACAAGAAAAATCAAATGGTAAATTAAGTAGGTTTGTTCCAAGCCTGAAATACCCTCAAAACCAAATGCAGATGTTTGAGGATACCACAGTGGTGCTCTTTTCTCAAAAACAATTTTCATTGAAAATGCTTTGACCCACTGCCTGAAGTCTGCCTGATTGCCACGTGAACCTGTAGTGACCGTGTTTTTCCCTTCACAGAGTTCATGGACAGGACTCAGTAGAGCCCTCTGTCGGTTGTTTCTGGAACTAATCTTCCAAAATTATCTCCTCATCACCTGCAAAAGACTTACTGAAGTTTAATTCAGTATTTTGTTTGTTAGAAACAAACATATCTAGAATAATCCACAAAAAAAGCTCATTAAAGTTCACTTAAAGCTGAAGTGTGTAATTCTTTTGTTAAATTACTAATTCTAGCTTAATGTGCAGAGACAACTACATCATTTGTAGGTTGTTTAAATTACCTTAAAATGTCTAAACAATGTGTCTCTGTGAGGCTAACAAAACATTTCTCTGTTTGTTTAAACATCCGACTGGCCTGACACAGCAACAGTGGCTCAGCCAATGATGTGAGTTTAAGGCGGGGCTATCAGCTTGACTGACCAATGGTAGACGGACGGAGTGTTTGAAAACAATTCTTACACTTCTTCTTGGTGCTGCTAGTAACTCAAAACCAAAAAAAAAAAAAAAAAAAATTTAGCAGAGACAACTACATTTGTAGGTTGATTACCTTTAAAATGTGTAAACAGTGTGTCTTTTTGATGCTTTCAAAACTTTTCTCTGTTTGTTTAAACATCCGACTGGCCTGACACAGCAACAGCAGCTCAACCAATGATGTGAGTTTAGGGCGGGGCTATCAGTTTGGCTGACCAATGGTAGATGGGCGGAGTGTTTGAAAACAATTCTTACACTTCTTCTTGGT